AATGGGAGTAGGGGCTATCACTGACTCTGTTGCCTGCCTTTGGATCCCTTTCCCCTACCTGGGCTGTCTTGTCTGGCCTCAGGTGGAGGGGATGAGCTTAGTCCTGCTGTAACTTGAGGTCTCAGGGTGCACTGGTATTCCTTAGGGGCCTCCCCTAAGGAGAAGAGAAGGAACGAGGGGACTATGGGGCATGAGAGTGGGACTGGTAGGAGAGGAGGGAGGGGTCAGGCTGGAAAGTGATTAGATCAATAAAACTTTAAAGATTTAATAGAGTGCTTCAGATCAAGTGCAAGTTAATGTTGAACCAAACAAACAAGAATAAAGTAACCAAAGTCATTAATTTACACATATGTGTTTTGACATTTTCCAGCTGGAGAAACGACAAAAAAAATTCAAAAGTAAAATAATACAGGACCTATGGAATGCAATCTTGGAAATAAATATACACTACCATTATGTGGAGAGAGGACAGAAAGAGGGGCAGAGTTTACTTAAGGAAATTATAATGAAAGAATCCCAAATCTTAGAAAGAATATGGACATTAAGGTCCATGAAACTTAAATGATGTTGAGAAAAATCAAGTCAAAATGAATATTTTAATTAAACTGTGAAAATAAGCAGAAAGTGAGAAACTTTGGAGCACTCAGTCTAAATGAGATATCTTGATCAAACCATGAGCCTCTACGGCTCATGGGTCTATGTGGGAGAGGAAGAGGAAAGAATGTAAGACTCAGAGGTGATGACTACGATGACTAAGTGCTTCTAGACACAACAGGACTGACGCACATCTGATCACAGAGACTGTGGCAGTGCACACAAGAAATGCACAACTTCAAATCAGATAGGGTCCCAGCATTGAGACAGAAAAGTGGACACCTAACCAAGAAGCTATCCACAGTGGTTACCTGTACTAAAGAAGAAATGAGCTTTTATTTTCCCAGTGAAGTCTCACTGATATATGACACTTCAGGGTAGCCCACATGCCTAGGAGAAGTTCACCAACACAAAATGAACTCAATAGATTTTGATGGACTTTTTGTTTCATTTTGAATTGTTTTGAATTTTTTTATGCCATTGGTCTGTTGCTTGTTTATTTTTTGGGTTTGCTTTTGTTTCTTTTTCTGTTAGATTAGATAGATGATACATAGATGATAGATAGAAGACAGACAGACAGATAGATAGATAGGTAGGTAGGTAGATTGAACAAACATAAAATTAGGTGGGTAAGGAAGTGAGTAGAATTTGGGAGGAGTTGAGAGAAGAGAAAAGTGATCAAACTTTATTGTATCGAAATATTTTAATTAAAAATACAAAGCTTATATCTGATGACTTATTTTCTTCCACTCTTATTCTGTGCAGGTCCACATCTTGTTGGGTGGTGCTGCCCACAGGTAAATTCAATGTAGAAGGCCTAAGTTGATAAATATTTCAATATATAAAACTGTTTCGGGAGATAATATATAATCTATAGTTTTTACATATGAAAAGTCATAGCTCCAGGTCTTTCTTTTTGGTATTCACTTAAGAAATATCTTCCGTTTAAAATTTAGTACCTAATTTGACATTATGGAAATATTGACCCTATGGACTCAAATTCTCCTAGAATCCTGCAGGCCAAAAATAATCATGCTGAATTATTTTTATGCTTCAATAGCTGTAGAAAACTGTAAATGACATTCAGCCTTGAAAGACAAAAACCACTTCCACAAAGACATTTATCCTTAACTTGTGAACTCTGGGATGTGAGTAAGCAATAGCTTACTATTAGGCCTGGTGTGCAAAAGCTGAATACATGGTGCTTGCTTTCCAAAGTTTGGTTTGATACTTTTTCATTAAAAATTTTTAAAGCTGCAAGTATTTCTGCCTAAAATAATTCCCTGGAAGAGAGTTTGGAAAGCAGATTTAGCTGCTAGGAAAAAATGTTCCACATTGCCAACTGAAATAGAAATGGTTATTTAAAAACAAAAAGCAGATACTTGCTCGTACCCCCTCTGAACTGTACAGGTCAAGCCAAGCAAACCTCCAGCTTCTGAATGCACTGTGAAGCGGTTTGTGTTCATTAACACAGAATCAGTATTATTCTTAGAGATCAACACTTCAGCACTCTTTTCAATAGACAGTCCCTTTCAGCCATTCTTGAGTTGTGTGAAAATGTCCAGCTTCCGTTTGAAATGTGTCCTTTCGTCCTGAGATAGTCGAATAACACGGGGAAGGGGGATACGCTCCTGAATGCAGTGTGAACACCGAGATCCATCATCTGCTGGACCATCCATTCCCAGGGGAGAAGTCCCAGGTTCTGGGAGCTGTGATGTGAACTAGTAAGAAGAAGGTGTGTTCTTTCTGTCCTTGATTCCCAATACAGAGGCTCCAAGTCCTTGTAATCTGGGAGCTGATAGAGAAATTTATGTCTTTTACTCTCCATGAGTGTGAGGTCAGGACCAGTTATCAGGAAGACCAATGGCTGGGGAAAAGCCTGGAAGTACCCTGTCACCCTTCAGACTGTAGGCGGTTGATGCATTTGAAAGTCAACACACTGGTGGGACAATACTAGCACTGCCATGAAAATCCTTGAGCCAGTATTGAAAGAAGTCTCATCTTGCTGGGCATTCGACAAGCCTTGGAGGGGAGCATGGTCACCCACAGACACCACAGCCTCCTCCCGTAGTCCTGCCGTATGCTTTTCTTCACCTAGATAGGGGTCTGCACCTTCTATAATAAATCCGAATGACGTGTTCTGAGCCCTGGTAGTAAATAATAGAAGTCAGGAAGAGGGTTGTAGGGATCCTTAACTTGTGTCTGTGGGTTAGAACTCGTGAATGGTCCTTCCCTGTGGTTCATGAAATCTTGTGATGAGTATAAAAACATGAGGTCTGCCTCTAATTCCAACTAAGTAAAGTAAACTGCAGATGCTCCCTAGTCAACGTTTATGTTCTGTGGTAGAAAGACCCATATACGTCAGGATTGCCACATAAGGTATTAAAAAAAAAATTCTATTTTTGGGGAATTGTAATATATGTATAATGTATAATCCCCTCTTTCCTTTCCTTCCTCTAACCTCTCCCATGAACACCTCCTGGTCTCCTTCAAATTCATGAGCTATTTTTCTGCATTTTTTACATATGTACTAAATTAGTATATATATTCCTAAATACACATTACTAAATGCACTTTTATAACCTGCTCAGTTCATATGGTGTTACCTGCCCACTTGGTATTAGATATAAACGTAATCTCAGAGCTGCCCGCTTGGCATTGGATAACCAATCGTTGTCTTCTTTCCTTGAGAATATCACTTCTGCCCTCAGCATTACCCAGATGCCTTTGAGGTAGATCAGGAGAATGTGTTTGTCTCATGCAGGAAGAATGGGAGAGCAAAATTCCGCCTACCACTTAAATTGCCCTAACATTGGGGAAAGTCTACCTGCAAGCACAGGAAACAAAAATGTACAAGGATTCCAAACCAACAGAAAGCTAGTTACTTGCTATTACGGTTCAGGCAAGAAAATTCTTCATTCACCACACACAAGACAAATCCAGAATATATTTAGTTTCCTGGCCTCTCTGGAGCAGACCTTGTACTGTGGAAACAGAGGGAGTTTCATTTTATTTTCCAATCTCCTCTCTCCGTTTCCTTCTCTCCTTCTCTTCTTTCCCACCAGTGGAAAGGCACTAACATCAGCGATGTCCCTTTCAAGGCTTAGAGGCACAGAGCTCACTAAGATAGAAACTGGACCAGGAAACAGAAAACCCAGAGTCCCTAATGCCAGCCTTAGTGCAAACAACTGCCTGCAGGACATCATGGCAGACCGTTGTGTGACTCAGCCAGCAAAGGGTGGAACAGGGACATTGAAAAACATGTGTTAGCACTGGGTGGCTTCTGTCCACCACCAGAGGAATTTTCAGCCTGTGGGTCACCCATGGTGACTAAATCAACAAAAATGCCATGCCTAGTTCAACTGCAGACTGGATTAACACTAAAAACTGAAATCTCGTCTTTGACAGACACTCTCACTCTTTGGAAAATGAAATAACAAGCCACAGACTAGGAGAAAATATTTTCTCATCATATATCTGAAAAAGAACTTGTTTTCAGAATATATGAAAAATTATTACAAGAAGTCAAAGACAATCCAATGATAAAAATGGACATTACTAATGACCAATAAATGTAATACCCACAGCAAAATTAAAATTCCCACTACAATGGAAAACTATGCCTTTACAAAGTGGGTTAAATTAAAAAGAATTAGAAAGGATATGGAATTGCTGGAATGCCTATATTGCTCTTAAAAATGCAAAACTGTTTAACAGATATTTGAAAAGGTGTAATTTTCTTTCTTTCTTCTTTTCTTTCTTTTTCTTTTTTTTTTTTTT